TTCAATACTACCGTCAGAAGAGGGACCAAACTCGGACCCGCTCCCGTCCCGCAACCCTAGCCGCCGCTGCCCTTTCCCGCTCGTCGCCGGCGGGATCCGGCCTCCCTCGCCGGCCCGCGGCCCGGATCCGGCCCTTCCTCCCCCCGCCCCTCCTCCCCTCCTCCTCCTTCCGCCCCCGCGCCACCTCCCCGGGAGGCGGCCGGGGCGGCCCCTGCGCCGCTGCTCTCGGCGTCGATCCGCCCTTCCCCTCCCCTGCCGTCGCCGGTGGGCGCCCCTGGCTCCGGCCCGGGGGGTGCCGGCGGCGGCAGGACTTCCTCTCCCCGCGCGCGCGTCTCCCTGGTCCGGGACGGGGGGGCGGCGGCGGTGTCCTTCGGCTTGGCGGCGACCCGGCGTCCCGGCGCGGTCGCCGGCGGTAGGCGCGGTGGTGGTGCTGCCCTTGGCAGCAGGGCGGCGTGGTGGCGTGCGGTGGCCGACGGCGCGTCCCCGGCCCAGATCTGGGCCTTCCCGGCCTCATCTGGGTCCTAGCGGGCCGGTCCCTGGCGTGGCTTCGTCGTCTTCTGTGTGGTGAGGCGGAGGAGCGGCTCGGACGAGGGGCGGCGATGCCGATGGCGTGCCAGCTGCAGCGCGATGGCGGGAGCTGTCCGGGAATGGAGTTCCCGGCCGGGCCTGTGGGCACATGGGCCTGGTAGGCTCCTGCTTGTGTGTCCGGTCGGCTACCGTCGTTGACGGCGGAGGTTGTGCCCTCCCGCGTGCCGACGGTGCTACGGCCCCTAGTCCCGGCTCCTATTCCTCGTCGTGCATGCCTCACCTCGTGGTGCCGTGGTGAGACGGCGTGGAGGCTTCTTGACCATGGTGGCGCAAGATGGTGGTCGGTTTGGTGGCAGGCTCCGGAGCACCCGAGGTGAAGGTTGGGATCGGGGGAAACCCCTGTCGGCCTGTCCGACACCGACGCGGCGACGCCAATGGGTGCCGCCGGACCTTCCTGGAGGGCGTCGGGGGCGACCCTTCCTCTCGCCTCTCGTGTACCGGGGGAAACCCTTGGCAGCAGCGTCGTCCTCGTCGCGGTCCTTCTTGGAGGTGCTGATTGGTACCGGTGCTTCGGAGCCTTGGAGCTTGGTGGGAGATCTTCGGTGGGCGCAGTGGTCGTGAAGCTTCTCCGTCTCCGTCGAACCGCCGTTGTCGGCATTCTTTTCTCTTGTTGTTTCTCTCTCGTTTCTTTTGGGTGTGTCTGTGCTGCTTCCGCCCCAGCACCTATCCTTGGTTGTATCGGTTGGTTGCTTTGGAATACAAAGCGGGGGGAAACCCTTTTTCGTCTATACTACCGTCAGAAAAATCTATTAAGTTCATTCTGAACTTCACCTTCAGAGAAGATGGTATTTGTTTCCTTCAGACCAACATGCCAATGCATGAGGTACCATCTATGCCCAAATTAGTTTATAGGATACATTAGATAGTATGGTGATCCATGAAAAGGTTAAGTTTCAATTCCAGGGTGTAGGCAGTATAATAGTCAATACATTGTATTTATTTGCACATGTAAATTGATTGTTCATATGCATAGGAATTGGTATAAGAGAACAAGCAGCTTGATTCCTGCCCCGTACTGTCCGAAGCAATGTGCAGTACAAACCTAGCATCAAGATAATTGATTCTGGCCCTGAAGCAACACACACGTACACAGCTCCTGATATATCTTTGCGTTGGTCGATCCTCACGGCTGGAAACGTACTAGTACACGCGCGCGCACAAAAACCGGCTTATTTCCACAAGCTCGAATCGAGCCTGGTTCTTTTCATCTATTTCACCTCACTGATCAGTGTTTACAAAGGGATATACATACGTATATATATATCAGCTAAGACTAACACAAGCTAACCTACTCGGTTACAAGTTTTAATTCTAAAATACTAGGTGATTGTTCTGTGTACAACCGGTACAGCAGTACACACGTCGTGGTCATTTCCAGCATGCTCTTTGTGTACTTTAATTAGCTTTAGCAAAAAACAAAAACGTTTTTGGCACCACCGTGGTTTCTTGTTTCATTATATCTCCTGTTTCCAGCTGCTCTTGACGGTAGGTGCTCTTGTCTGATTTGAATAAGAGACGCAGATGTTTGCATTTGAATTCAGTTATGATCATTAGTAGATATCTAAGTGATAGTCCCCATGAAATCCAGCATGCTCGAGTTACTTGTTCTCATACACTAATTTTATGTGCTATTATACTGTGTCAATTTATTTATATGGGCTGACTTTCATAAATCACCAAACATTTTGTAGGACTGATGATCCACCTTATAATATATAGAAGAATGAGAAGGCATTGTGATCGCTGATGAAGAATTATGTGCATTCAAACAACGATGGTGCCTATGGATTGAAGATTAATAAATATTATCTTTTCTAGTTGTCTGGTTTTCCAATTAGATATGAGCAAGTACAGTGGTCATGTAAAGAGTGCTTTTGACTCAAATTTCTCAAATGGTATTTTGATTATAGAATGCTATGGTGGAATTTTGTTAATAACTCTGATTTCTATTAAAAAAAGAGGCTACGATCCTTTCAATATTTACATTCTTTTGTTTTTGAATTAATTAATGTGAATAATAATATTCAAATGTTGGATGTTGCATAAGTGATTGTTACCAATTCAAAGGTGGTTGACTGTAAATGGTATGTAAAGTGGTAATGATGCTTTAACCATTGTGAAAAATTATTAGCGATGACAAAAGTGGTCGGTAATACATCAATTGCGGTTGGTATTTCCTTGAGGTTGACGACCACACACCATACCGTCGTTGCGCGAATAACGACCGGGTAAGGTGGTCGTTATTACTTTTAACGACAGAGCCTACTACGACCACAAGATTGTGGTCGCTAATGACCTTTAACGACCACAATCGGACTAGTAACGACCATATATACCGTTGTTAAAAACCTTTTCCCTAGTAGTGGTTGGCTTCGCCATGCAAAAATATCATGGCGGAGTTCGAGGCGGCCCAAGCTAGGTGGGCCAAGCCTGCGGTTGAACTAGCCTCCATTGTCTTCTCTGCCTTCTTCTTCATTTGACACACCTGCCTTTGCGTAGCACGGATGCGACCTCCTCTGGGTCCGGGTCCTTTGGGACGACGAACATCGTCTTTGACTCCTCCCGTGGCTTCATTACGACGGCGGACTACAAAAAGGGGAGGGGGTGGTGGCGATTGGGGCAGAGGGAGCAATGAAGAGCAAGGTTTCGCTCAGGAGGATGGGGCGTGATTATCCTAATACGCAGGCCTTGGGTGTCGCTTTGGTTGGGTCGGTGTTGTTGGACTCCGGCATACTAGACGTCCTAACACCTCAAGTTAATTCCTATTTGTGGATTTTTTGATGTCCGGACTAGTCCAGATATTTTTGTAAGCTGCATTGGATGGGGTCCAAACATTTAAGATCGATTAGACGATGAACGTTGGAGTTGCCCTTACCATGTCCTTCTCCCGGACAAGAAGTAGAGTCGACATATCTTGCCAAGGCCAAATCATACGCAGCGGCACCGGCAAAATGCATGGCATGGATGACACCATGGAATTGGCTAGTCCTAGCCAGTACCGCTCTCGTCTACATTGTGAATCATTGGTCGATCAACCCTACAGTCTTCCTATCTACTAGTAGTAACAGGGCACGCTGGGCCTTGGCAGCATATGAGATCGATTCATTCATCTAGGTAGTTGTTCAATTATATGTTTGGCACCCCCAAAACTATGAGGCGGGCCACCTCCTCCAAATGCATACGTGCATGCATGTGTAGTATCTTTCAGATCGAACTTCAGGCTAACTAATTGGAAACCAAAAGGTTTGGCAATGGTGTCGGTCCGTCGATGTTACCCATAAATATGACACCGCTTGTAAAACGACACCTGAACGAATGTTAACACCAAACACAAGGTAGTATGACGTTGCACAAAGTACCACTCGCCTCGTTTCATATTAGTTTTATAGCTGATTTATTACAACGTTACGCATGAGACGGAGGGAGTTTTCAGGCCAGTTCTTTTGATAGCTTAAATAATTCAAAGGTGATTGATTGACGATGGGTGAGCGACGAGGGAGGGCAACGCATGGTGTACCACGCACCCACTCACGGTTTTTCCAACGTCGATCGATTGAGTAATATATTCCGACCGAGTGACTGAGAGCCCAATCAGACAAGCTTTCCATTCCTTGCACTGCAACCACCTACTGACCTACCTTGAAAATGCATGCTACTCTATGAAATGAGTGAAAGAAAAAGCTCGCCAATGCCATGCCGCGGGCATGACTAATCCGTGTAGTGCAGTTTCTAAAGGCGATCCGATCCATCCATCCATGATTGATGTCGCTTTACTTGAGCATTCTACAACTTTGGATAATCCGAGTGGACAGCCAGATCGATGGAACCGTTCATGCATATGCATACACACTATATATATGTGCCCACTTCACCACTTGATAAAGAAAAAAAAAAGAGAAATGATTGGACGATGGAAGGCCCTACTACCGTACCACTGTATATGTATAGGAGGCACCGCCACACCCACCTTTTGTGCCTAATTAATCTAATCTCATCAGCTGCCTCCGTGGAGTTGGATCCTTCAAGAGACATGCTAATTCGAACAAGGATTAGGACAAGCTACTTTTAGAATGCTACTCGTATATACTCCACCTTGATGCTGCATTCTGAATAAAATAATGGAATATGAATATGAATGAAACAACAGTCGTCCAACATGGAATACACTGCTAGCACAGTGAGGCACTAACTGGTGTAGACACAGACAAAAGTGAAACAAAAAAAATATGCACACCGCACCGACAAAAGCACGGTATGGAATGTAGTGGAACAAAAAATATGTTGGATGAAAGCAATGCCGCATCTGCCGCTTTGTTCTCTCCCTTTTAATTATTGATGGAGACGAAGCTTCCGAATGTTGAGAGTATCTATCCACTCCATTCCAAGCTTTCTTATTTTTCAAGATTCTCTGATCACACAGACAAAAGTGATCGATTGTGTAGTGTAGTGTAGTGTAGTAGTAGTAGTAGTGAATATATATGTACTGTAATTAATTTAGATAACCCTATGCAAAAAAACAAGAGAAGAGAAGAGAAGAGAAGAGAAGAGAAGAGAAGAGGAGATCATAGGAGCATGTCACCCTTGGCGGGGAGGCGCTTGTAGAAGTTGAATGGCACGGACGGCTGCTTGCTCCGGAAGCGGGGGTGGCGGAGCATGTAGAGCCCCAAGACCACGGCCACCACCTGGAACGGCGTGATGTAGAGCACGACCGCGACGATGAGGGAGAGCGTGATGAAGATGGCCGTGGCTCTGGGGTCGCGCCAGCTGAGCAGCGACTGCGCGCGCTCCCCCTGCATGGCCAGGTCGCCCACCACCGTCTGCACCCGGCCGGCCACGCTGCGCAGCCGGTCGTACCGCATCCGCACCACGTCCGACGGCTTGGACGTCGGGAACGTGTCGAACTCCTCGTCCAGCTCGTCCGGGTGCGCCTGCTCCGCGTGCGACAGCACCGTGTCCATGTGCGGCGGCTTCCGCGGCCGCCGCCGGTAGTTCCACACCCCGATCATGAACAGGTACAGGAACACCGTCGGCAGGATCAGCTCCGGGTAGCACACCAGTATCAGAAACAGAACGTGCACCAGTATGGTCGTCAGCGGGTTCTTCCACTTGCAGATGCCGTCGAACCACTTGCCGACCGCGACCACGCCGGAGAAGAGCGACGTGATGCGGTAGAAGTTGGCCTTGCTCCGCCGCAGGCTGAACATGTGCGAGTCCACGTCCAGCATGTACTCCACCACCTCCCGGTGCAGCGGCGGCTCCGACCGCCCCAGCCGCGTCGCCACCATCTGCATCGCCTGGAACCGGAGGTAGTCCAGCTGGAGCACGGAGATGGGGTTGCTGTAGTGCATCTTGGGCAGCAGCGGCCGCCCGTACTGCGCCAGCATGTTGGCCCACGCCGTGCACGTGAACCGGACGGCCAGGTGGAGCTCACCGGTCTTCTTCAGCCCGCCGGGGGTCAGCGCCATGAGCGGGTAGTAGTGCGTGTACACGCGGTCGGACTCGAGGGTGGCGAGCCTGACGCGCACCTTGCCGATCCTCTGGTCCTTTCCGTCGCTATGGTGGAGGTGGTTGTTGTCGAACACGGCGACGGTGATGACGGTGCTCAGGTCGAACACCTCCCAGGTGTACTGCTCGTTCCACGCCGGCGCGGCGGTGCCCAGCAGCGTGCGCGTGCGCACCCACTTGGACCCGTACTTGGCCACGCAGTAGGCGCTCTTGTTGCCGCCGAGGCCGCGCGCGCTGAGGATGCCCACCTCCAGCACGCCGATGGCGCTCTTCCGCAGCTTCTTCGCCGCCGGCTGCAGGTCGCTGCTGTAGTGCGTGGACTCGTCCAGCACGTGGTACGCCGTCTCCAGGCTCATCCTGAGGTGGATCTTGCTGGCGAAGGTCTTGGAGTGCTCCCGGTGCTTGGTCCCCGTCGTCGCCTCCGCCGCCGCCTCGTCCACCGTCATGCCGCGCGACAGGTTGAACCACTTGGATGGTATAGACTTGGCAAGGTCGTTGCGCGGCACGTACGGCGACGCCACGGGGATGATGATGCGGCCAATGGGCTCGTCGCGCCCGGCGGCGACCTTCTCCTCCACGGTCACCACCAGCGGGTCCTCGAACGGCTCGCTGGCCACGAACATGAACTCCTCGTTCCACGCCTGGTTCGCCGACCCCTGCGGCTGCCCCGGCCGCGTCCGCCTGATCTGGCTGCCCATCTGTATCTTGGCGATGGTCGGCGCCAGCGGCCGGCCCTTGTCGGCGGCGATCAGGTCCTGCGCCGCGATGACGGAGACCTTGAGGTAGATGAGCTTGGGCGAGTAATACACCTTGGAGCGCGTGTTGGTGAGCCCCTCCCGCGAGAGCGAGTGCGCGTCCGAGTGCCACGCCTCCGGGAACGCCTCGTCGGCCTGCGTGCCGATCCAGACGGCGAGCATGATCTCGCCGAGGGGGTGGCCGTGCCGGAACCGCTCGCCGTGGGCGTCGGCGAGGCTGTACCACTGCGGCGCGAGCGGGCTGTCGGGCGGCAGGCGGCTGGGGATGTCGGACATGTCGAAGACGACGCGGCCGACGAAGTCGTCGCGGAGCGTGTCCTTGTCCATGACGATGACCTCGAGCTGGCTGGCCTGCAGGTGGGCGCCGGAGAAGGCGAACGTCTGCCGCCACACCGGGTTCTGGTTCTTCTCCAGGTGCCGCGTGACGCCCTTGAAGTTGCCCAGCTTCACCTCCACGTACGGGTCCAGCGCGCCGGTGAGGTCCATGGAGGGCAGGTCGCGCGCCTTCACCACAGTCACGTAGAGGTACGACATCGGCTCCACCATGTCGTAGGTGGACGCGATCTTGGCCGTCCCAGAGCGCGGCCCCATCTTGGCCGGCAGCGGGGGCTTCGTCTCGGTGAGGCCGTACTGCGAGCCCGGGGGCGCTGCCTGGGCAGGCCCGGCGGGCTTCGGCACGACCACCGTCTGCCCCGCTGGCGGGGGCGGCGCCGCCATGGCGTGGAGCGTGTGGCGCCGAGGCTCGTTGCCACCACCACCTGACGAGGCCGGAATGGAGCGGAACTCGCGTGTGTCGTGGCCGCTCTTCCCCTTGGTCTCTGCCGCCGGCCCTCCCGAGGCAGAGGCAGCTGCGGCTCCTGCGGGCGCCTCGCCAGAGAAGACGTTCCGGACCATCCTCTCGGGGTCCAAGCTGGCGGCGGCGGACTGGGAAGGCTGCTGCTGGTTCTGCTGCTGACCACCGCCCGTGTCCATGGCCGGAGCAGCAGCAGCATGGTCCTGCGCGACGCGATCGCCGTCCCGCCCGTCGGGGACGAGGTAGAGCCGGAGCGCGATGTCCCCGGAGACGCGGGAGAAGAGCCCTCTTTTATCCAGCGGGAAGCGCTGCAGGAAGGCCTCGTCGGGCGAGCGAGCGACGGACTCGCCGGAGACGCGGACGCGGCCGAGGAAGACGTGGGGGCGGAGCGCGTTGTGGTCGTTGAGGCTGCGGTCGTGCTGGACAGACACGTCGACGGTGAGGGCGGCGAGGCGGGCCGGGTCGCGGACGTCGAAGACGAGCGTCTCGTTCCACTGCGGGGAGAGATCGCCGGGCCGGGTGGCCGTGCGCTGGCGCTGCCCGTCGAACTCCACCTCCACGAACGCGTTGCAGCCGGCCGCGCCGTCCTTGGCGGACAGCTCCGCCGCGTCCGCGACCTCCACGGCAAGCTTCATGGTGGCGGCGATCGGGCACTACTGTGGATGGCTGGCTAGGCGGTGTAGGACGGCCGGGGTTCAGTGCGGCGGCCGGCCATGGATGTGCTCTGCTGCGCTCTGGCTCGGTTGGTAGGTGCTCTGTTTTGGGAAAGAAGCGAAGAAGACGGGCGCGTGTCTCGTAATAGTGTCCCACTATTTATAATACCGATAATCTTGAGGGGTTGGTTGTTATTTTATTTTCTTTTGGCCTGGGCGGTGGTATGTAAGATGGGCCCACGGGTCAGACCAATGTCGACGATCGTCGGCGGGGTTTATTGGTTGCTTTGGTTGCCGTCACCATATATCTTTGGGACAATTACATTTGAGCCTTTAGTTGTGTCACACCTGTGTGTTTTGTCCCTAAATTCAAAAAACCCTCGTTTCTGTCCGAGCTCGTTTGCTCTTCTTATGTTTTTGCCCTTTGACCGTTTGACCGTAACTTTGAAAACTTCATAACGAATTCATACTAACTCAGAAAAATGCATATAAGATATCAAAATGTCCGGAAAAATATCATCTATATGTGCATGTCATTTGCATTCATGACAAAAAGGGCATTCATGACAAAAGACATCATATGAGCTCAAACTGAGATAGGGACTTTTCAGTACTTTTGTCATGAATGCAAATGGCATGCACATATAGGTGATATTTTTCCGATCATTTTGATACCTTATTTGCATTTTTCCGAGTTAGTATTAATTTGTTATGAAGTTTTCAAAGTTGCAGTCAAATGGTCAAAGGGCAAAAACATAAGAGGAGTAAACGAGCTTGGATAGAAATGAGGGTTTTTTGAATTTAGGGGCAAAACACACGGGTGTGACACAACTAGGGGCTCAAATGTAATTGTCCCTATATCTTTTGCACGCGCTATTCATCCATTTGTAGTTCTAAATGAACAGCACTTTGTATCCATATGTAAAATAGCTGCATAGCTTTTTTTAGGGGGACACACTTCACTTCATTGATCAATAACCAAGCTCACATCGTTAATTAGGGAATCATAGCTGCATAACAGGTCACTATGATGATTGTAACACTAGATTACCACCTTAGGACATCTCTAGCCATCCCAAAAGTTAAATATGAGGGCTAAACTTTTAATTTTGAGGAATTAAACGCCATCTACCGCATCTTGACAACGTTTAAATCCCCCCAAAATAATTTTCCGTTGCCCGTAAATATGGTCTAGGAGACGCAAATCTTATTATACATAGGGAAGAGCTCGCGCCTCCGTCACCCTTGTCGCTGTCGGTAAATCCCCAGCACACCCTGCTGCCCGTGCCGCCTCCCCTATCACTCTCCCGCCGTCTCTGAATAACATCTAGCTTTTACGTAAGGCTGGATCTCTCAAGATAAAACGTAAGACTGGATATATATGCCATAACATTCCAAAAAATGTGTATTCTTGTGTTTTTAATTAAAATCATCCAAACTATGGGTGTCCTAAAGTAGCTGGTTTCTTCTTTAGAAATGGTTGGTTTGGTGAGTTGAGAAGAGAAAAGATGACTTTTGCGTCACTCGGTTTCGCCATTCCTAAACCGAGTCTGATTGCAAATTCTTGGTGCGATAACTATGATCTTTGTTGGGAAGTTTGTGCATGATTTGGTGATGTTTATAATTACTCCTATTAGCTAGATTTATATCCTATCTTCTGGGATGGGTGACGTCAATTAGCCATTGTATCAATAATCAATCATGGAGCATATGAAAATAATAATAATGGGGCACGTACATATCCATATGTCCGCTTGGTAGGTGGGCATACCGTGCTATCATACTTATAGCATGCATGGTCTCTACCTATTATTATTATTATTATCATGGGGAGAAATGAACCAATAATTCTATAGAAAATGGGATGGTGATAACTAGGGGTCGGATGTCAAATGTAGCACATCATATCAATAATTATTAGGAGATGTGGCCCCAATCTCAATACAAATAATCTTCCAAACTCAAAAACTAAAAGAAAAATCATATAATATATTGATCATAATAAAATAAGAGAAAGGTTGGTTAATTAACGTCGAACTACTGCCATGAGCAGCGAAGGACTTAAGACGGCACTGATAATGTATGGAGTGGCACCAAGAAATTAAGTGTTAGCAATGCTCAACCGACACCTACGATACCAGACACACCTTCTTCTTCTTTTTAAATACTCCTCGGCCGTCTTGATTTCTTGTTAAAATTGCAGTTACCCGCTCATCCTTCTAATAGTTATATGAATTAATGCAAAAAGATAAAATAGTAGTTACATGAATACATATTTAATTATGTAGCTATCCATGAATTGAGGTACTCACACCACTGTTTTGGTATTTAAAATTTAGGAGGGTTGGTATTGGGTCCTGGAAATAATAGACAAAACAATTTATCAAATCTAATCTCATGGAAAGTTCTTCGTTACTATGGCAACTATGTTATACACCGAATCAATGAATCACACAACAAGCATGATCAACCCTCCGCGATTTCTAGTATGTCATGCACAAAATCTCCAGAAAAAATGACATTGTGTTTTTCTTTTGGTGTAACTAAATAATGTCTAGCGTTTACAAAGGACTCGGCATATATGATATATTTTTTTTGCAAGGTTAAACTTGTGTTTTTAAAATTATGCAAACTATAGTTGTCCAAAAGGAACTGCTTCTATTTTTATAAATGGGTGGTTTGGTGAGTCGGGAAGAGAACAGATGACTTTTGTGTCACTCGATCTTGCCAATCCTAAATGGTGTCCAATCACAGATTCTCGTTGCGATAGGACTGTGATCAATCTTTATTGGCAAGTCGATGCTTGGAGAGTTTACACATGCATGGTATGGTTATTTTTTGGAATTATTATTATTAGCTTGTATTTTATCCTATCTTTTGGGATTGGGCGGCGTCAATTAGCCATACTATATATCAAGTATGAATAATGGAGCACCTACATACATATCGTCATAATCTCTATATCAATATATATTTTTGGTGGTTGGATATAGCACGTGATCATGTGTATAAGAGCATCTCCAAAAGATGCACTAGATAAGCCGCGCTAATCTTCAAGAGGAGGAGGACACCGCAATGATCCTAGCTATGAACGTCAATAAAAAGCCAAAGTACGGTGTTTGATTTTCGGTCGTTAGAATCTTGGAGGGAAAGGATCGATGCCCACAACAGATTGATGATGAAATATTTTGTGGAGAATCCCACATACCTCGAGTCCTACTTTTGGCTCCGTTTTAGGATGAGCATCGAGTTGTTCAAACACATTGCGGGGATACTGGCGAGCCATGATCGGTTTTTTCAGCAAAGGAGGAATGTCGTCGAAGAACCCGGGCATATCACCTTTCAAAAGGTGACCGCCGCTTTGCGTATGTTGGCATACGGTATTCTGGCAGATCTAGTTGAGGACCAATTGGCCATGGGTGAGTGTCAAGTCATCATGTGTGTCAAGCGCTTTGCAGTTGGAATTGTGCAAGTGTTTGGGTCGGAATATTTGAGAGCTCCCAATGTTGAAGACAACGCAAGGCTTTTGGAGATGAACAAACTCGCAGGTTCCTAGGTATGCTTGGCTGAATAGATTACATGCATTGGAGTTGGAAGAACTATCCTAAGGCATGGCATGGACAATTCCACTGCAACAAAAAGGGTTTCACTATAATTGTTGAAGCGGTGACCGATCATCAGACTTGGATTTGTCATGCTTTTTTCGGAATGCCTGGATCTTGCAATGACATCAATGTTCTTCAACGGTCACCACAAATGAATAGGACTGCAAATGGTGAAACTCCACTGGTGGAGTTTGTCGCAAATGTCCATACATACAACTATGACTACTATCTTGCGGGTGACATCTACAAAAGGTGACAAACATTTGTGAAGCCGTTGACGGCATCGGAAGGTAAGAAAAATCTTGATTTCCACAATGCTCAGGCAGCGGCTAGGAAATATGTGGAGAGAGCTTTTGGGATTTTGCAATCCCAATTTGCTATTGTGAGAGGTCTGGCTTGATTTTGGGATCAAACGATCCTTTGGTACATCATGAACACTTGTGTGATCAGGCATAACATGATCATCGAGAACGAGCATGGGCAAGATTTAGACTATTCCCAGTATGAGTTGATGGGATATCCCGTACGAGTGCGGAGGAGGGCTACGAGGGTGAGTCGCTTTGTCGCCTCCTATCATGCGATTCGATGTGCCGAAACACATGATGACCTTCAGAAGGATCGAGTTGAGGAGTGGTGGTCATGTAATGGGCGACAAAACTAGTTTGATGTTCTATGTTTGTTGTATTTTGACTATTTGTTGCATTGTTCATGAACTATTTATTCTATTGAAGATAAACTATTTGTTTGAGTTGTAATAATAATTGAAATATTTATTGTTGATTTATTTTGTGTGTGTTTGATCTTCTTGGTTCTATGTTGAGTGTGAAATATTGTTTGTGCTAGGGGCGCACGCTGTAATTTAGCGCGCCTACTGAAGTGCTACCTGTGGCGTGCAATATATAGCGCTTCTGCTAAAGCAAAACACTAGCCCGGCATGCTAAAACACTTTTTTGGCGCTGCAAAAAAAATTAGTACGTCGCACATCCGCGCGTCTGTTGGAGATGCTCTAACATGCATGGTCTTAATATGTTATTGTCATTATCATTCGGAGAAATGAAGCAAGAATTCCATGGAAAATCCGCATTTGATAACTAGGGGGGCAGATGACAAACAGAACACATCATATCAATTGTTATTAGGACATGTGACCCAAGCTCAATAAAATTAATTGTCCAAACACAAAGGTAGCTTAAACTAAAAGGAAAACTGAATATAACCTTAGTCATAATAAATCATATTAAAAATATGATTAATTGAATCGACCAATACTTCCATGAGCAGTGAACGACAAAAGACGACGTTGATAATATATAGCACCAACGTATTGAGTTTTGGCTCAACCGGCTCCTACGATGCCAGGCACTTTTCTCAACCTAC